TCTCTGCTCTTGCAGATCCTGCCTGTGACCCACACGAAGATCTACCCAGAAGAGGTATCTAGGAGCCGCCATCCTGTCCGTAGCCTTGGCGGTGAGGGTCCAGAGACCCGGTCGCCGCGATTGGTCTCTGACCTGGTCCTATTTGAGGGACCCAGGACTGCTTTGGTCCGGACAAGCCAGCCCCACATACCCTGTGCTTCAGAGACACAAAGGGCTGAGGGGAGCCGCTGCTCGGGCACGCGCCTCACCCACAGGGAAGGGGAGAGTCCTGGGGCTCCTCCCTCAGCGTCACCAACTTGGCCCCTGCCCTGGCAGGTCATGAGCCAGACCCAAGAGGTCCGAGTGCCAGCCAGACCCAGGCCCGGCCCTACAGGGTAGAGGGTGGCTGTAAAATGGTAGTGGTGGTGCTGGTTATGTGTTGTTGAGTCACTTCTGACTCTTGGTGACCCTGTGTACAACAGAACGAAGTATGACCCAGTCCTGCACCAGCCTCACGATCCTTGCCATACCTGAGCCCATCGTTGCAGCCACTGTGTCACTCCATCTTGTGGAGGCCCTTCCCCTTTTTCGCCTACCCTCTGCTTTACCAAGCATGACGTCCTTCTCCAGGGATAGTCCCTTCTGACCACATGGTCAAATTAGATAAGAAGAGGTCTGGCCATTCTCGGTTCTAAGGAGCATTCCGGCTGCACTCCTTCCAGGACAGACTTGTTCATTCTTCTAGCAGTCCATGCTATTTTCAGTATTCTTTGCCAACACCACAATTCAAAGGCATCAACTCTGCTTTGGTCTTATTCATTGTCCAGCTTTCACATGCACCTTAAGTGATTGAAAACACCATGGCTTGGGTTAGGCACACCTTAGTCTTCAAAGAGACATCTTTGTTCTTCAACACTTTGAAAAGGTCTTTTGCAGCAGATTTGCCCAGTGCAATATGATGTCTGGTAGTGGTGTTAACAGTGTCCAGACCTGTCAATTTCAGGAGGGACAATGGCCAGGATCAGCCCAAGTCTGATCCCTATGGGGTAGAGGTCAGACATACCTCCTCTCTCCAACCTTTATGCCAATTCTGCCACCAGCCATCCCTCCCACAGCACTCTACTTCACT